TTTATCAGTCGGGTGTCTAAAGTGTCATTCACTTTATACGACAATTCATCCCCTCCCCTCCCCCCTTCTCCACCCTCTGTCCACCCTCTGCATCTCGCCATGATATGGGGTATGCCTCGCCAATACGATCATGACACAGTAACCCTACGCCATGAGCAAAATTAATCCAGACTAAGAGACCACTGTATAAGATTTACAACGCGATTCCGATGGTCTTTGTACGAGGCCACAAAAAAAAAATCCTCGCAGGAATCAGGAATCGTATGCATCCGGGGTCTGAGCTTCGTTGTCCCCAAAAAAAAATGATAATCAATAAACACTGGTTCTTGCATATCAAAAACTCGCTAAGTTGCTGTCAGCCAACCCCTTCCTTCGCCGGCCGACAGGATGGGCAGCATCTTTTGCAAACCGTTGGTCGCTTTCCATTCTGCGGGGAGATACGCAAAAACTCGCCACCTTGGTCAGATGTGAATTGCAAAAAAAACCTTAAGGGGTATTAAGATGATATGCACACAGACTACCACAGATAAACTTGCATTTTCTATATGTTAATTGCACCGTCTATTGCCCTTTTCCCGTTAATATCTGTAGCGGGTGTCTTTGTCTATCCTACAAAGCCAGCAGGTGGTCACTGGGGGTAAAAATGGAAACACGTGACGTGGATTTTGCAAGGTTTCTCTGCAGCTATGCGAAGGATAAAGGCACTTGGAGAATTAAACTTGTTCCGGTTCAATTAAAACAAACAGGAACAAGACTATGATGATGTTAACGTTAGGATAATTTAAAAAACGTTAGTTATTGGTTAAGCCTCAGTAAGCGTCCACGTGGTCTGGAGGGCTTATCAGCTCCAAAGGACAAGCCGTTTAACCAGCAAAATTAACATTTACAGACCATGATATGCACAATGGCCACGCATGTATTGACGCTTACATTTAATACCAACCCCCAATAATACAAATCAAAACTGAATCTGACAACCGCAGCAGATGAAGATGTAGATAACACATTTCGGATCATCTAATCCACAATTTAGAAGAATAGTTATCGCAAACTCTCAAAGTTCCTTTAATCAAATGTGAAGTCAAATTACAAAGCCTCAAAGAAGCCGTAAGAATACCAACTTGCAATTTCGCAATTGAGGATAATTGAAAAAAAAATCGTAAAAAATGACCTTATGATATTCTCAGCCAACTAGCGCGCTTATACTGAAACTACTAAATCTTCGCAGTCCTCTTAGATCCCAAGAGCTTCTTTTCACTGAAACAGTCGCGTCATAAGGACCCCTCTAGGCCGCATAAATCCCTCTTCACCTTTCTACTTTTTGTCATGGGCAGCTGCACAAAGCTTGGTACCGATGATACCAATACACAAGAGGCCTTCGGGCAAGACGACCAGCTGTCAAAGCAAGAACTTAACATCTGCGCCTCAAAACTTCCCGTAACTTGCAACAGATGCAGTTCATGTTCAGGTATTTGTTTGCGATTCCGCATGTCTCAAGCCCAGGACCATACACAGCTGCTGCCCTGTCCTGCCCACAAAAAAGGTGGTCTGAACTTTTTGTTTCGCCCAATACCTGGCCTTCATACCAAGGTGACATTTACCCGATCTTATCTGTGATGCACACAACATGGCCCTATCGAGTTTTATCCTAGTCCTAGGAGCCCCTTGCCTCAGGCACTGGTTTACTATGCATAAAATATGCAAAGGAAGACGGGCTGGATCCTTGCATGAATTACGAGGGCCATTTCTATTTCGCCCAGGTATCTCCCGGGAGCGATGGAGATACCTTGGTCGAGGTGTGCAAAACATGACAGCGATAGGGATGGTTGGAACTCAAGGGAGTTTCTTCCCGTCGGGTATGTTGCGACAGCATGAGCTTCTCCAACCATGTGGCGGAGAACATAATTCCCGCCCCTGCCTCCTAAACACAAGGAAGTCCACGTAACACTGCCATCTGCCGAGCGACGAGATGCAAACATGACGCGACAGCCTCGCAACCTCTCACCCTTCGGCCACGCTGCAGCACAACCTCCTCGCCCCCCCCCCGCCCCCCCGCCCAGCCACACGTGCCACAACAGCAAGATTCCTGGCCTCGAGGGCTATCGTGTCGTGGTGGACGAAAAACCACAACCGCTACGACAACCTTCGACTTGATGGACACGGAATCACTAACCAAAGCTTCTCGGGTAAAAATCGCTTAAATCTAGATATAAAAAAAACATTACACGAAGAAAAATTGCATCTGGCTATACGTAATTCACTACCCTTGCAGTAACATACTCGACCGAAATGTACAGGTGAGACAAATGAGCGACATGCAAGGGTGCAACAGGTAGGCGCGCGGATGGGCAACGAGAGAAATGGGTGGGTCTGACGACCGGCTCCTTCCCGAGGGACACGGACGGGATTCTTGGCCCGAATGTCTGCAGGCGGATCGTGGACGGTCTAGGGACAGCGCCCGGCCTCATAAGCGACGAGGCTGTGTAAAGATAAGTGAAGTGAGGTACACTTCATAGGGAGCGAAGCACAGGCGGCCAAAAACTACTTGCGATATACTAAGATGAAGCCCAAGATGGCAAAAAACATGGGCGCGCGATGGAAAGTAACCTACAAAAATGGCTGATATGATAACGTTGCTGTAATCATAAAAAAGAAGAAGAAAAAAAAAAACAGTAAGCGAAAGTAACGACCGGAGAACAAAAGTCAGATGCGGGAAGACAAATTGACGCTTTTGACCCCTCTTAGCCTCGCCTCCCGCCGCTGTTCGTCCCGCGTTCGCCTCACGTCGGGGCCTGGCATCTCCGGAACCCAGTGATTAGCATAGGAATGCCCCAAGTGTTGCGGCATTTCATCGCCAAACCCTCGCTCGGCCGCCGTGAGGAGGGACACGATAAACAGGAGGGCGGGAGGATGGCATCTACATTGGGTACCATACGGCTCCACCCACACTGACGCCGGGCACGCCAAACAGGAGGACAGGAGTACGGCATCCACATTGGGCATACGGCTCCACCCACACCGATGCCCCTCTCAATGCGGCCTCTTAACGCGCTCGTCGTCACCACAAGCATCTTCTGTCACCATAACTTCCAACCTAAATCCCCATTCACCGTCAGCCTAATGCCAACCACGCCATCTGACCCCTAAAGAGGATGTTATGAGCATGGGCGGGGGCGAGGAGGGGCCCGGCATATGGGCGCGAGTGGTGGGGGTGTAGGGGCGTGGAGAAGAGGTTGTATAACGTATGGTGGCAGGGTCACGAGCCCGCCCGAAGGGAATTACCCCTGATCAACATGGCCATTAATTATGTTTACTGACAGCGAAGGGCATAGCATGCTTATGCTTGATTAGAAAATCGCGGTGGATGTGGCTGCGATTCGCTAAGCTTCACTTGGATAGGGTCCCTTGATTCCTGCTCGAGAGAAAGGGTGGGGGGAGAGAGGGAGAGAGAGAGAGAGAGGAGAGAGAGAGAGAAGGGGGGAGGGGGAGAAGAGGGGGAGAGAGAGGGGGAGGGAGAGGGGGAGGGAGAGGGGGAGGGAGAGGGAGGGAGAGGGAGGGAGGGGAGAGGAGGGGGAGGGGGAGGGGGAGGGGAGGGAGAGGAGAGGAAGGGAGAGAGGGAGAGGGAGAGGGAGGGGGGAGAGAGAGAGAGAGAGAGAGAGAGATAGAGAGAGAATGAACATCAAGCGCCACCTGGTCCAGAGAGAACTCGAGTAGATAAGCAACAATAACTGCGGCGTTTTGAACACACAGTAATGTAAATATAGACTCGCACATTATCATTTCTTATCATCATTTTTTCCATTTACTTTATTTGCGGCACTTAAATGTTGATTCGGTTCGGCCCACAAGCAGGCGGCCCACAACGCGGACAAGGCAGCCCTGGAGGTTCGAATCGGGGCCACGGATGAAAGAACCCCATCTGGTTCTAATCACTCGGTGTTCCCTGCGACCCCGAAGAACCCCGCATAGTTTTATACTTTCGCCCAATCGGTCAGCGAACTGATGGGGCCTTTTCGCGCCCTTCTGCTCGAGAAAGGGCTCGTAGAATGAAGGAATCGATAAAAATGACATGAATAAGGAAAAGGACGCGGGAAGGAAGGGAAAATGGTGCGGAGACATTCATGCTTTGTTTCTATATGTGCAGTTTTCACGTTATCGTTATGACCTTCGACTCTCCCACAAGTCGAAGATCAAGAAAAACTTTCACTTTCTCACGCAATGCAACGGTGCAGCACGTTGCAACAATGGTAACCCCAGGGCGTTTCCAGCTCTCCCTCACGGACCGCGAGGAGTTCCCCGACCCGCTGCCGCCTCCTTTACCGGCGAAGGAAAAGCTTCTCCGGAAGACATTCCTGAGCAACGCGGTCCTGCGATCGGAGGAGGAGGGGGGGAGGTGGCTCGGGAGGCCGCATGTCATTAGCCTGACACCCACCTCCCGCCGGGCCTACGTGCGGGAAGCCACGAGAAAGCACCCGGCCGTCGGAGGACGACAGGGAAGACACAGGATGGGGATCAAGACAGATGACCATACCCACTACAATTGCAGAATGCAAACACTCTTTTGTAACAATTCATGTACAAATACTTTTATCATTCACAAATTTAAAGAATACCAATATTTGCTGCACTGCCAGACCTCTTCCAAACAAGCTGGCTCCCCGTCATACACAAATCTCACTGAAAATATTCCAGGCGAGATTCTCCTCGGCCCATTTCACGTTCGTCAACCAGGGGACGCGTCTGGTTCGCGGTTCTCTCTCGCCGGCCTGCCTGCCCACCCTCTTTCTAGCTCGCCCCACACCCTCACCCTCAACATCACCCTCACCCTTACACCTAAACACTACCCTTAACCCGCACCATCACCCTTACGCTCCCCCACTCCCTTCAACCTACAGCCTTACCCCTTCCCCAACAAACTCCCTCAACCCTTAAAGCTCAGACCCTACCCTCAACCCAACCCCGCCCACCCCTCGAACACCTTGCACCAAGCTGGTACTCACCTCGACCTGCGTCTGTTCCGCTGTGGCGTCGCCATTGGGGGCCGCGGTCTTCTCAGCCACCTCCTCGATGGTCTCTCCGCTCTTGGCGTCTTCGGCCTTCACGGGGGCGTCTTCGGTCAGCTCCTTGACCTTGACCTCGGTCTCTGTGCTGCCGTTCTTCTTGGGGCTGGACTGGATGTCGACGGACTTCTTGGAGTGGCGGATACCCATGGTGATGTGTGTGTGTGGTTTGGTTCTTTTTTTTTTTAACTGCGGGAGAAGAAAAATGGCGTGTCAAGAATCGCATCCAAAGCAATAATTCATTTTCAAACAAATCAATATGAAATTCTTAACACAGAATGCACTCGCACACGCGCGCACACGGACACACACAACATTTGTAAGCACAATATCTCTCGCTTCCACGTTCACACACACATCTTTTTCAGGCTACACAACTATACACACAATACATACATACATGTACACAATAGCCTTACTTTACACAAGCAGCTTTTCCTCCCATGAGTAAACCAGCATGAAAACAAGGATTCGACATTTTTCAGAGTGAAAGCAAGAAAAATGGGTTCTCTGGCTGCCCTCGCGCCTCGTTTCTCCCCCTTTTTACTTTTAAATCCAGTGCCAAGGGAAGAATGGACTCGACACGAAAAGAACGAGAACAAAAATAACTTGTAAAAACATCTGTCGAACGGATATCTAAAAAAAATCGGCAGTGGAAGCAGTGGAAGATGTGGAAGGCGCGGTGGAAAGGAATGGAAAAGGAATAAGCGATAAGAAAAAATAGGTGGGACAGAGAGCTAGTAGTATAGCGATGCGTAAGAGGCAGAGGTGCTGGGGAGGTCACCTGTAAATAATAGATAAGACGAGACGGTTCCATCGCTTCAAGGGGCAAACACCGTCTATCTGTGCGACTAAAACCGAAACCCCACCTCCCAAAATACTTCGGCCAGCAGAAGTTGTAAATACTGACAATTCGCAAAAAATAAGGACCAATAAAACTGTACATATGAACACGTGCATCAACGACTCGCTCAAAAAAATATAACACCAAATCCGGCAAAAGAAGGATAATCGACAAAAATTAGCAAATACAAACCTTATACACATGTATCTAACTGACAAAGCAAAAGCGTTATCCACAGCTTTATCAAACTTTTTTCCTGAAATCACATCCAAGGGACGAATCCACAGAATCCACAGGGTCTCCAACCAAAGAATCCACACGCCAGCTCCCGGCCGCTCTCGCCACTCGCGCTACTACTACGCACGCACGCTCGCTCACTCGCTCACACACTACGCCACCCCATACCGGCAACTCCTGACTCACTGACGCGCCGACCACCAGGTGAGTCACCGAGCCAATGAGTAAGTGGCCTATCACCTCTAGTGCAAGGCACACTCCGCGCCATTCACTGCGGGTAACCTCAGCTATGCGCTAAATGTGGCGAGTATTTCGTGCACGTCCGATCTGCAGGCTGTGCTGCATGTATGTGGCCATCCTTCTCTGCGCAGATGACTTACGCAATAGGAGGAGCAAAGGCGTATGTATAATTGGCGTTTCAAGATGTGGCATCTCTGGGATATTATCGTGAGTCTAATGAGAAATGGAACGAAAAGTCGAGAGGTTATCTTGCAATGTGCGATTATTATAGTGAATACATTTTCAACAGGCTAATATGAACTACGATACAATGCGAATTTGGACTGAACAAAAATTGAGATTTCTGTTTATGGAATCTTCTCGGTGATGGTCAAGGCACGCAATACGCATACGGTATTGTATGTATCTTTCCACAATACACGTAATGATAAACGTTCTCGATCAAAGTCTCCTGTACCAAAATCTCCACCCATATAATCATGACATTAAAAAACTCAAGCTTAAGTACGGTTCATCACAGTCGGTTAGTGACAACAGTGGTAGTAGCGGTAGTGGTGGGATGGTAGACTCTTCCCTCGTGTTGGTGATCTAACACGTGAAACACCTGTTGACTGTGGCCGCAGCAGCGCTCAAACAGCAGCTGTTGCCCTCTCGCCCGAATCGCCAGCCCACACCTGTCACTCGACCGTCACTCTGGGTTAAGTCAGATGAAACAGACTCATCACTGTTCCACACCATTAGCGTTTCGGAACCTCGTCTCATTTCAGACATCGTCAGCTGTGTGCTTCGTTCCTCGCTACACACACACACACACACACACACACACACACACACACACACACACACACACACACAAAAAAAGGCGATAATGAGTACGTCCCAACAAATATTTCACTGATCACGCGATTAATAATTATCCCTAAAACAAAGCCATCAGCTGCTCGTCTCCAAAAAGGAAAATCGCCGTCATAACGCATTAAAACACCCGAGGGAAATGTGGCAAAGTGAGGCGAGTGATTCCCGCAGGAAATAAGAGCGACAGCAGCCCACGGCGGACCCACTTCACATGCAGAGCCAGACAAAACGACAGAAGCCTCGGGAGCATGAACGACTAAGAGCCGCATACATATAGACATACACAATGGCAGATAAATGCAAATACATACACGGTATGTACGTATTTATAAGTAAAAATGTATGTATGTTTGTTTGTGTATGTGAATGTATTATGTATGCATGTATTTATGCATGTATGAACGCATCCATGTATGCATGCATATGTGCATGGGTAAGTACAAGGATAAGGACCTTATGCAAATGTATCAATATACATACTGTATACTGCATACGGTACAGCAAACCTGCGTCCACCGTGCACCAAAAACATTATTCACGGTCTCTTATTTCCTCTCCTTTCACCGAACTTCATTCAACTTCCAATTTAATTCCGGACTGGGTTTATCTCAACCAGGAATTAAAAAAAAGAAATTAAAGCTCAGGGAGACGACACTAACGACATGGTATAAAAGTTTTGAGAAGATCAACGTCTGACAGATGACCAGGGGAAGCTAAACCGAAGAAAAGAGCTGCTCATTAAACGCAAAGGAAGGGAATAATAATAAAATAACAAGTAACCCGGAACGAGTAAGACCACCAAAATCGGATGGAGGGAGAGGGGGAAAGGATGGAGGGTAAGAAGGGGGAGGGAAGGAGGGAAGGAGGGACAGGGTGAGAACGGGAGACGGAGAGAAGGCGGAATGGGGAGGGGGGAGGAGAAAAGGAGAAAGGGGAAGTGAGCGAAGGAGAAAGGGGAAGTGAGCGACGGAGAAGGGGGGGAGGGAGCGAGCGAGGGAGGGACGGACGGCAGGAAGGATAGGAAGTGTGGGTGTACTCAGAACTACACGGGAAGCACACAGTGCCATCCGGTTGGGTGTTGTCACTGGCGTCGACGGTGGCAATGAGCGGCGCCCCTTCCTTCCCAAGCGATAAAGCGACAGATCGGGAGGGGGTGGGGGTGGGGGTGGGGGGGGGGCGTTGATTAGTAAGACGAGCTGCCATTGAGGGCGATATGCTCAGGAGGAGGAGGAGGAGGAGGAGGAGGAGGAGGAGGAGGAGGAGGAGGAGGAGGAGGTGGTGGTGTGGAGGGAGTGAGGGGAAAGGGAGGAGGAGGAGGAGGAGAGGGAGGAGGGAAAGGGAGGAGGAGGAGGAGGAGGAGGAGGAGGAGGAGGAGGAGGAGGAGGAGGGAGGGGAGGAGGAGGAGGAGGAGGAGGAGGGAGGGAGGAGGAGAGGGGAAGGGGAAGGGGGAGGGGAAGGAAGGGGAAGGGAAAAGGGAGGGGAAGGATAGGGGAGGGGGAGGGAAATGGGAGAGGGGGGCAGAGGTGGGGATGAGTGGGAGAGGGAGGGGTGAAGCAAAGGAGAGGGGGGAGGTACAGGGAGGGGTGAAGCAAAGGGAGAGGGGAGGACAGGGAGGGGTGAAGCAAAGGAGAGAGGGGAGGTAGGGGAGGGGACAAAGGAGAGAGGGGGAGGTAGGGAGGGGTGAAGCAAGGAGAGAGGGGGAGGTATAGGAGGGGTGAAGCAAAGGAGAGAGGGGAGGTATAGGGAGGGGTGAAGCAAAGGAGAGAGGGGGAGGTATAGGGAGGGTGAAGCAAAGAGAGAGGGGAGGTATAGGGAGGGGTGAAACAAAGGAGAGAGGGGAGATAGGGAGGGAGAAGGGAGGAGAGGGGAGGGGTGAAGAAAAGGAAGGGGGAGAAGGAAAGGATGAAAGGAGAGGGAGAGGAGGGGAGAGGGAGGATAAAGGGAGAGGGAGAGGAGGGAGAGAAGGGAAGGATAAAGGGAGAGGGAGGGGGAGGGGAGGGGGAGAGAGGATAAAGAGAGGGAGGGAGGGGAGAAGGGAGGTAAAGGGAGAGGGAGAGGAGGGAGAAGGGAAGGATAAAGGGAGAGGGAGAGGAGGGGAGAAGGAGAAGGATAAAGGGAGAGGGAGAGGGTGGAGAAGGGAAGGACAAAGGGTTAGGGAGAGGAGGGATGAAGGGAAGCATAAAGGGAGAGGGAGAGGGGGGGAAAAGGGAAGGATAAAGGGAGACGAGAGGAGGGAGGGGAAAATGGAAGGAGAGAAGAGGAGGGAGGGGAAAATGGAAAGAGAAGAGAGGGGAGGGGAAAATGGAAAGAGAAGAGGGAGGGGAAAATGGAAAGAGAAGAGGGAGGGGAAAATGAAAGGAGAGCAGAGGAGGGAGGGGAAAATGGAAGGAGAGAAGAGGGAGGGAGTGGAAAATGGAAGGAGAGGAGGGAGGGGAGAAGAGAGAAGAGGAGGGAGGGGGAAGGAGAGGAGGGAGGGGAAAATGGAAGGAGAGGAGGGAGGGGAGAAGGAAAGAAGAGAGGGAAGAAGAGCCAAACGGACAGAAAAAGAACTCCTCTATGCTCACGACATTACTGTTAGGACCTAATCGAATATCAGCTGTTATTAAGGAAATGCCGCACTCATTCTTGAGTCACAAGCCATGATACGGGGAAGGGGTAAGCTATATCGTCCATTTTATCAACATTCAAACCAGCGAAAGCGAAAAAGAAGAAAAAAAAGGTAGTCACTAAGGGGAAAATCTGAGACCTGTAACGTACAAGAAATGAAGTTAAAAACAATGACTGATTGCAATGAAGATAAAGATACAGCCTGCCTACTTCAGATAAGCGTTGACAATGAGAACCGGAAATTGCCCAGCCAAGATATGTGACCAATCGGACAGGGGAGGGGGGGGCTTATAGTGCCCGGGAAAAGGTGTTAATATTCTTCATTAATTGATTATCACCGGCGACAGAGTAAGATATAATCATACTATATATGTGTAGCTGCAACAAGCGGCCAGGTGCAGTTTCT